TTCTTCTTTAACCTCTAAATCTTTTTCTGTTGCATTTTTCTTATCAGATATTTCAATTAAAATATTTGAAATTACATCTTGTAAAAGTTCTATTGTATTATCAATAATTTCGGGAAATTCAGAACGCCCTTCATTCATATGTGTAACAACAATATCAGTTAAACTTTCATTTTCTATTTCTATTGATGGCATGCTTAAATAAATAAAATTATAAAAAATATTATTTTAGAGTAATTTTAATTGAATAAAAGATTAGGTTATATTAAAAATCAAAAACCACTAAAATTCCCAATTTTTTAGTCAATCTGTGTTATAATTTTGATAATAAAATTGGACTCAATTTTCAGAAAGCATTGCTAGCTGCTGATTATTCATGAATTTTAGAAAATGTACGAAGGTATACTATTTTCGTGCACTTTAACTTCACTATTAGAAAAAGAATCCAAAATATCGGAGCTGCCGGACAAAATTGGTTCAAAATTTTTCAAAAGCTTACATCAGTCTCGAATTTGTTTGAATTGAAAATTGAACACCGTCTGAGCTGTCGGAAAAGGGGTTCTATTTCCGAATAAACCTAAGGCTCAGTGAATACACAAAATACTTTAACAACTTTAAATCTTTTATTTAACTAAATATATGATTGATTGGAGAATAGGCTAAAGAGCAGTTCAAAGAAAGGCTAAGAGCAAAAATGATTAAGTATAGGAAAGGAATGTGTGAGAATAGGAAGTTTATTAAAGCTTTTATAAGGATTGTTATCTGTATGGACATCTTTTAAAAGATGTGTGAACAAGTAATTAATTTAAAATTTTGCAAAATGCGACATTGGGAAGACCTGTCACGAATTGGTTGAATGCGACTAACGCGTTCCGGCGGCTCTTCCATATTTAATAATGGACTGGATTATATATTTAAATTATTTTTAGTAAACTCGGCATTTATTTACAACGGATTGTATGTAATGGAATTTAAATTAATCCAAATTAATTTAATTTTTAAATTTCAAACATGTTTTCATAAAGAATAATTAAAATTGATGGGCCAAAAATTGTTAAACGATTATCTACAAGCTTTTGTTTCTGTATAATTTCATTAAATAAAATTGAATATTGCAAAAAAATATAAATATTAACAGCAAGATCGTGTAAAGTGGCATGTTCTATTTTGTCCATATTATAATAAAGTATACTCATGGTATATAATGAGGTTTTATTTTTAAATATTGATTCACCTAAAAATAAATTTTGAAATTTAATTAAATATTTTAACAAAGTTTGGACAGATTTTTCCTATAAATGTCCTTTTTTTCTATTATTGCCTATTTTTATTATCCTGTCCTGAAATTTGGGCTTTTAACCAGAAATATCTCCTTAGATTAATGCATTTAGTATGGGGAATCCGGGTACACCCCCACTTTACCGCGGACCTATTATACCGCCGAGCTATAACTTTGTTCAAAATTGTTGAATCCGGGAGGCCCTGGTATGGTTCGATGCGCCTCAACGATCTGAATCGAATCATACCAGGGCTTCCCAGATTCGACAATTTGAAACGAAGTTATAGCTCGGCGGTATAATGGGCTCGCGGTAGAGTGGCCTGCTCCCGGGGAATCCGGAGATTTTCTGTTCCGATATCGCACCCTGATCATGATATCCGTTGACTTAAATTAATTTTAATTAATTTATAATATGTACTTATTGCATATTCAACAGATAATTTTTCGCCTTCCTTTTGTTTCAAATCTAAAACAAAATATAAAGATTTTTCCAAATCTTCTTCTATAATATCAAAGACATTGTTTTCTTTACTTCGATAAAATTCCAAAAATTTATGTCCAAGCTTAACTAATTCTTTATTATTTTCAACTAGTGGTTGATATTTCATAGAAATTGAATTAAGATTATCCTCAAATTTTTTAACAAAATTATTATCAAAACGCCAATTTGTAATCATTTCGAATGATATGTCGAATAACAAAAAATAATCTTTAATCAGTTCAAAAAAGGATATAATAGACTTTTCAATTCCATAGTAATCCTCTAAATTAATTTTTTTATTTAACAGAATTTTGTCCAAAACATATAATGCTGATATATATACTCTATTTATATGTATAAATGCAGATCTTTCAGGAACTATTTTTTTAGACTTTGGTTGATTTAATAATTGTTCATTTTTTGTAAATAATTCGGTTATTTTCTGGATATCTAGTGCATTATCCCCAAATTCACTTTTGTTAGCCTTTCTTGCTTCTTTTTCAGCTTTTTTATTTTGTTGATCTATTTCTCGAAGATGACGATTTTTTTGGTTTATAATGTCATCTAAAAACTTTATATCTTCCAAATCTTTCTGCTTATTTTTCTTTTTATTATTATCTTGTTCTTTTATTTTTAACTTTCTTTTATTCTTCTTTTTCTTTCTTTTATCAGCTTTTTTACTATCAACAGATATTGTTTCATTTGAAGTTTCAGCTTCATGTACTAACTAAAGATTTTGAATAATGATATGTCTAGTTTTCGATTGCATAGGTAAAAATTTTAATATAAAAAATAGTGTTATTCACGGTACCGTATTACCACGGTATTTTTAACGAAATACCGAAACCAATACCGCCTCAATCAAAAATACCGCGGTATTTTGCGGTATAGGTATTTTACCGAAAATACCGATACCGCAAAATCGCATTTGAATAACACTAATAAAAAACTCAAGCTCTTGACACATAAAGCATCCAAATGGACAAGAAAATTCTTGTAAATTTGAAACAATTATTTTGTCAGCGACAGAGACATAAATGAACAGCTGTAAGAAAAACTCAAATGCTCAATTGATCTTTAGGCTGGACTTGAGATTAACGCAGGAAGGACCCGCACGGGAAATTAGTTTTTTACACTTTAATATGAAAAATTATTTTATTATTATGTAGAGTATTTTTTCATTAGACTTTTGACAGCATTTATATTATGTTTATCTCTTTCGGCAACGAAATAATAAGAACGTTGATTTGTTGACCTCGCAAGCCACATCTAATGCTCCGACATGTTTCACATTATGGTTTCACTATTATTTAATGATAAATTACAGATGTTCATACCTTTAAATCCTCTGATTGTGTTAGTGGCAGATTATCATCAGTAATCTTTAGTTTAGTTAAATATTGTTCTTCTAATTTATAACCACCTTCAATAATCCTTGATGCCTTATTTTTATCTTCTTTATTTTCCTCTATATCAGAAATTATTTTTTTATTTTTATCTTGTTTACCCTTTTTCTTCTTTTTTCTTGACGATTCCTGCCATTCTTCTTTTTTATGTTCTAGAACTAATTTTTGTTGATCATCTTCAATCTAAAATAATTACTATAATACAAACTAATATTAACGGAAACCTTCGGGTTTTCTATTAAATTTTTTTCTACCAACTCCATTTTTAAATTTGTAGTTTCTTTATCAATATTCTCTACAGGTTCTTCAATTTTTAAATCATTTTTCTTTTGCTTACTTTTTTTCTTTTTGGATTTTTTATTTTCTGTTTGGGACTTAACTATATCAACTTTTTCGACATTATCCTTTATGGTTTCACTATTATTTAATGATAAATTTTCTGAAGCATCATGTGGCTTGTTATCTTCAATTTCCATATCAAAAAGAACACCATCCTTTATTCCTTTTATCTTTTCACTTAACAAAGTTAACAATCGAAAGTCACTATTTTCTTCAATAAATTTATATGACCTTCTATAATATTTTAGTAAATTGACTATATGTCTTGGAAAATTATTCTCTGTGTATTTTTTTGCCTCCTCCACATATTCAAGGAAATATGGTATCTTTCGGCAATTATAAACAATATCTGGCGATCCATCAGGAACGAATTTCCTTGTTTCTTCTGAAAATTAATATAAATGAATTTTAGGTCAACGGCCCTAATTTTGTCGAATTTTAAATGTAAAAAATTTGATCTTTTTAAATTTTTAAACAAATTTAGATATTTTTTATGGTGACTGAGCGAGTCAGTTTCATTTTGAAGTTCATTTATTTGTATTGTTTTTACATCATTGAGAGAGAAAATAAAAGTTATGTGTATTAGGATAGATTATTCTTAGTTTGGTTGCTTCTTAGAACCTTGCCTCTAAAATAGAGCAAAAAGATCTCTATCTAAAAGCATACCATTTTTTAAGTCAAATAACTCATTTAAATCTGTATTCGTCATTACATAAGACTCCAACCAATACTTCCATTTAGAATTATCAAAAATTTTAAGGATAACAATTTTGAACAAATGTGTAGGTACAAGAATTTCTTTTGGACCGATAACCTAATATTTAAAATATAATTTACTCTTATATTATAGTACAATAAATTACTTGAAATTCCATTAAATTTTTCTTTTGATTTGGCAAAAATAATGGTCCAGTATAAATAAATGTTTCTTCTGCTGCTTTTGCCATACAACTTAAAAAATATTTAATACACCATTTTTAAATTAAACCGATACATATGTACTTATAAAGTATGTATGTTGTCGGATCCGGATCCGAAAAAGGCCGGATATCCGGAAATTTTCGGTTCGGATACCGGATCCGATGATTTCCAACTATCCGACAATCTTATTAGAATGCTCCATTCAATAATAGAGATTTTTAATAGTAACTCGTTATTTATTAGTGGGTTTCCTTTATAATATTGTGAGCGTTTTTTGATTAAATTTTTAGTAGTACAATTGATACGCTACATTAAGGTCCTACTGTAGTTATTCTTATACATTTTAAAGGCAATCGGGGCTCAAAATCGGAATACTAAACTAAAAATATAATTAGTTACCTAATGTATTCTTCAATAACCCTCCAATGTCCACTGTTAACTTTATTGTATTGTGGCACTGAATTTGTAAGGTAAAAGCCTTGCTTGTGTGGATGTAAACTTCCTGTTGCTAGATGGCCATGATTATATATAGAATTCTTAATTTACAAAATTTAGGGGAAAAAAGATTTGATTAAACCGGATGACACTCATAATCATTATATTTTGGCTGGAATATTTCCGAAAAATTTGGATCTGGTCCCCAATCAAATCTTCCAGCAGTTAAATTAGTCATATGTTCCTTCGTTAAATATTCCAAAACCCAATTTGGTATTCTCTTCCTTCTATTAAAGTTTATGATGAAATCCTTAAATTTTTTTTATTAATTACGGAAATTGGAAATTTTTTCGGGAACTTCTTTTTTTATTAATTTCTCTCTAGAACATTTACCGTATATACTCTATTAATTACCCTCCCTTAAATAATTACCCCCTCCCTTTCCTTCTCTAATTTCAAAAATATTGAAAAAATCGTTGTCAATTTTAATTATTGAAACATTATAAGAATCAATATCAAAAAATAAATGGATTTCCTCTTCAATTTATTGAGATATACCCAAAATTTAGCCCATCCTCTCGATTAATTACACCCTCCAGAGAGAGGTCGAAACAATAATTACCCAGGGTAATTAATAGAGTATATACGGTAATAGTGATGATTTTATAGCCTTTACTCTCTCATCACGGGGTTTTTAGTAATGAAAAATTTCTCCTAAGAAATTCCTTTTTTAAGGGAGATTCCTCTCCAACAAAAAAACAAGGAACGAAACAAAAATTATCAGAAACCACGATTAATTAAATATATTAAATTTAACAAACTTTATATATTCGAATATTTAATTTTTTATATTTTTCTCTATTTGCCTCCGTTATATTGCTTAATTTTATATTTTTAAATTTTTTTGAAAATGTTGGAGGATATAATTCATTTTTATATTTTTTAAATTTATTTTTTGACGTTAGCTCCGCTGCTTTAAACAATTTGCTATTATCACAAATATCTATAATTTATTTAGATTTTACAAAAACTTGGAAACTTTATATTAAAGCTATTCATGACTAAAAATCTTGCTTAACTCAAAACCAATACTAGATCTAAGACTTTATACTTGAAACTTAAAAGATCCATAACAATTTGATGGCTTTAAGTTAGGCAATCGTAGTTAAGTAATCGAGAATTTAATTCATCTGAATTTCAACCAAAGAGTATTTTCCTTGAATACTATTAAAAGTCGGATCTTCTTACATATGTACTAAAACGAAAAATAAGGAATTTTTTAAATCAAGAATAAATACTAAATTTATTAGATAGGTCTATATTCTATGAATGGTGAATTTTATTTTCAATGGATATTAAATCAAAAACATATTTTGATTTATTTTCTCTAATTAAGCTCAATTAGATAGTACCTAATTTCTTTATATTATCAAATCCAGCATTTTGCAACAAATCAATCAACTCAAATCCAATATACCATTCTAAAAATTCTAATTTATTTTTGAATAATTCTCCCATAATTTTATAATCTTTAATATAATTTTTGTAGTCCCAATTACTATTTAAATGATCTTTTCCGCAATTTTCTTTAGAAATTTCTTCAAATTTTGTATCTTCATTCCAAATAGCATCGGTAAAAATTATGTCAGAACAATATTTTTTACTTTCATATTCAATAATAATAACTTTGAAAACTTGGTTTATTGGGGAATGCTTTACTTCTTTGTTGAACTTAAATAATAAATTATAAAAATAAGGAAAGATTTTTTGATTAATTTTGATGATCGAATGTGATTGTAATACTGAGATACATAATTAAGGGTCTGTCCGTTAAAAAATAAAGGAATCGTTAATGAACGAGTCCTGTGTGTCAAACTTCAGAGGAATAGGCCATGGAAAACTTTAAATACAATGTTGAAATTAAATACAAACCGGATAACTCTTCACAATCCTCCCCTTTTCAATTTTTTCTGAAACATCAGAAAGTACTGATATTGGACCTGTGATTGTTATGATATTCTTCTTATTCCATTTAGCAACACAACTAAAAGTAAATTTAAGCATAAATAATGATCAATCTAGAGTTAATTTATGGATAAGTCTAGTCCGAAAACAGTGAGATTTTAATCCAGAGAGTGAATTAATACGGAGTGTCACTTTATCAAGCTTTTCTGTTTAGTATTTAGTTAAATAAACCTCGCATATCTATCAAGCAGTTCAAATGTCTTTAACATTTTTTTATTAAAATAATGTCCAAACTTTTCATATTTTTCTTTTACTTTGCCTTCTGTTATTTTATTTTTATGTGAAATTATTTCTAGAATCCAATTTGCTTTTTCTGATAAGAAATTGATGCCCATCAAATACTTAAAAATTATAATTTTTATGAATTTATATTTTATATGATACTTTTATTTTTTACAAATAATTTTTAAAATCAGAATTCAAATACGATTTCAGGCCGGAATCATACTAAAACGAGTGAAGTCAACTCATCGCTCTATTTATAAGTCTCAGCACTGCGCAAAAGACGCCAAAAAAGCCATTACTAGAATTTATAATCAGAGCTTCAGCTCGTACAAAAATTCAATGGTATTCGTATCTCGATTTGATACGAAGCATTAGTACGAGCAGAAAAATTGGGCTGTGACGAGGTACAATGCAATAATCAAATGTGATATCATAGGTCTTCCATACCCCTCCAAATCAAGGGGCTTCTCTATCGAGCCTATAAAAACTCATCCCTTTGGTTTACCTATTTCCTATACTCAGCGGAGTTCACCCATGATTACAAAACGCTAGACTCTGCTTATAACCTCCTCATGATAATCTAAGCGAAGCGCTTAGAAACGTGACAAACCGCTTTGTCTATTAAATAAAAGTTCAAATAATTTAAAGCCTCAAGGATTTTATTAATCTATTTAACTAACTTTATCATCAGTTAAAAATTTCTCGTCTTCCGGCCATCCAAACTCATCAAAATGATTTGATATATTATAGATAATCCCTTCAGGATCGAAATCCGTAATAAAACGTTTTTCAGGTTGATTGAAAGGATATTCACTCTCATTTGGAACACCCCAAAAACCTGTATTAAAATCACGTCTATCATAAGCTGAAAAGTCTAATCCATTAAGATCTATATTTTGTGAAAATGTTGGAAAATATTTATCAAAATCACAGCTTCCAGTTGGCGTGATGTTTTGAGGTAAAAATTGGTTGAAGTATGGATCGTCAACTGTCAAATGTGGAAAATTTAATCAAATTAAAAAATTAAATCTTCTTAATTTAATTTTAATGGTGGGTTTCAATAATTCAATCAGAACTTGATTTTTCCTTGATTTTTTCCTTTTTGATATTCTCCAAGGATTTGAATTATTAGTTAACAGTTAAAAAGACTTGATTCCGAAGCTCCATACCCGAAACTCTTGTCTTTTAAATTTTTTGGCAGACGGTTTTGAATAGGTACTAATTTTTATAAAAGGAAATATGATGATTTGTACATTATTCCTAATTTTATAACACTAAATAATACTTACACTGATAGTGAGATAAATGATCATTATAAGGTTTGAATTCTTTTGCTATAAAATAAAATTTAATAATACCGAATAAATTTAGCAGATTGGAAATTCAAAAATGAATGTCAGTATGAGAATAAAAAACCATTGAACCCCAGATTCTTTTTAGATAAAGCAACAGAAATTAGATAAGTTTTAAGATACCGGAAGGATTTAAAGAGCTTGTAGAAGGGCCAGGATCTGGTTTGTTGCTAGATTCAGGTACCGAATCATCCTTACGTGATGCGCATTTTATAGGAATAATTACAAATGTAAATAATAATAGCGATATAAATAATAAATAAATATATGTTTTCATTTAAACATAAATGAATTTATGGATGAAAAGCTGAAATAATAATAATAATTAATAATTACCTAACACTAAAAAAAGTTTCAACATGTGTGGCATCTCTCTCTCAAGACAGAGACAGTCATAGCGGGACTTTGGCAAACAAACTTCTTTGCTTTAGACTATAAATATTTTTCCAGTTATGCCTGTTTAGAGTGAACATCTGTCCTGTTTATAAAGCGAGCCCTTTCTCAGTTATTATAGGATACAAGGGGAGTGGTTGATCAAGTTCGTGGTTGATCAAGTCCCTTAGACTCTTCCCTAACACCGAACACACCAAAGTGGATTAAAGCGCTTTATTCACAAACTAGGAAATGTGGACAATAATATTATCGCTAGCTAGCACATAATAAATAATAATTTAATACAACTGAATCGTATAACTGTGATCAAATCATTTAAATAAACATTTAAGTGGGAGGGACAATAGGCTAATGGATTGTTGAAATAATGTGAACGGAAATATAATCGAACAAATTCCTTCGGGTAGTCTTTCCAAGCCCAATATTTACTAGGAAAGGACTTAGAGTCCTACAATTAAGTAAAGCAGCTGGGCTATAGCTATTTCTCTCCTTTAGCTAGTGCAAAAGGTTATTCGGCGGCTGGGAGCGAACCAGCATCTTCAGTAGACCGGACTGATGTGTTAGCCATTACACCACGCCGCCTACTGCTCAGCCTTAGGAAATTAATAGCTATATGCTTTACAATTCTAAATCGGTTGTTTTTAAATAGTAAATGAATTGTTATATCAGCTGAATTAAATTAATAAAGAATATATTTCTCTCTCGTTTCAAGCACAACTAGGCCAGGAAAAAATATGGAAATCCATCTAAATCGCATCCCTAGTGATAATAACTCACTGAAAACAAAAGATTTTTAAAAATAAAAACGGATTTGAGCTCAATTCATTATAACTATATCGCAAGAATAGGTTACAACTAAAGTGAGGATTTATAGGCAAGTAAAAACAATGAAATACACACCTAAAATTGGCACTAAAAGCCAAAAAGGATTTTTGAATATAAACGTACATTGTCATCGATATGACAAAGAAAAAAGAATTTTTGAATGTTCATATTCTATTTTTTATTTTTTTTTAACGATGACACACGATTTATTTAAAAGAAACTTTTTCCATTTATTCATTCAGTTTCACATTCACTTTTGTTTTTAACATTAAAATAAAATATATTTTTATATATTTCGGGGAATTTAGTTTATACATATTTTTAAAATAAATTTTGAATAAAATCTATTAACTTAAATAGATATAAACATTACCAAAAACCTATTAAAATGGATTACAAAAGTTTTGATGTAAAGATAAAAAGTTAAGAGTTCTTCATAAAAATTATTTTTTATTAATTAAAAATTATTAAAAAATTTAAATTTCTAAAATAAATTTTTAATTGGGGATGGGAAGGGAGGGAGAGAGGGAGGGAGCGAGCGGGCGTAGGGGAGAGGAATTTTATTTACATTCTTATTAGTCGAGAAAATCTATTCAATTAAGTCGCTCAATGGCATGTCTAAGGAAATTAAAATAAATGTATCTACGTCCAATCAATTTAAATTTAATTTGAAAATAAATTTTAAAAAAAATTTAAAAAAATTTATATTTAAAATAAATTTAAATGATTAAAAAAACTTCTTGGAAAACATATGCTGAACGGTAATGCAAAACCTCACTCTCCGATTAAATTTGATTTCTAAGAGTTAGAAAGGATATCCCACTAGAATTTCTTACAGTAATATAATAGTTAAGAAAATATCCCTAGTTTGTTACATTCCTATTGAGCGATTCTCGAAATTAATGCCTGCTAAGAGTTTTATATTTTTGGCCATCTCAAAATTCTGAGAATTAAATATATCTTTAGTTAAGTAAAAGCATCAAGACTGCAAGCAAAAAACGGAAAATCAAAAAATTCAAAAAAAAGTCGAATAATAATGAACTTTTTTTAATAATTATCGTTAAATTTATTTTATTTTTACTATCAGTAAATAGAATGTATAATATTTATGTTGGATGTTTTTAAATAAGTAAACAAATTGTTTGATCAGCTAAAGCACTTTATTAAAAACTCTATGTAAGTATTTTTATTTCTACTTATAGAATGAACAAATAAAAATTAGAAATATATCCTCTAAAATCGTAGAAGGATATTAATTTAGAAATTTTTTCCTTAAATGTTTCTTCTATATTTCTATACTCATTTAAGCTCTTAAATGCTGTTTAAAAAATTTAGCTAATTCATAATTATAGATTGTCAAAAAAAATTTTTTTAGATTTTATCTATGTTTGAGATCAGAAAAGATTAAACTCTTAGCTGAAACTCTTTTAATTTTGGCAGATTTTAAACAAATTTTTCCAAAAAACTTTAGGTTTAACAAAATTATAAAATACCAAAAAGTTATTAATAATAGATTACAGAAGTTTTGATTGTAAAGATAAAATGTTAAGAAGTTCTTTGCAAATGTTTTTTTATTAATTAAGAATTATTTAAAAAATTTAAATTTCAAAATAAATTTTAAATTGGGGAGGGGAAGGGAGAGAGGGAGGGAGGGAGGGAGAAAGCGAGCGAGCGGACGTAAGGAAAAGGAATTTTATTTACACTCTTTATAGTCGAGTAAAATCAATTAAATAAAGTCGCTCAATGGCATGTCTAAGTAAATTAAAATAGTAAAAGTATGTATGTGTACAATCAATTTAGATTTAATTTTAAAATATATTTTATTTAAATTAAAAAAAGTTTCTCATGTTGAGCGATCAGGGGACTTCTTTTTCAACAAGGCTGACAAGAGCGGATCTATCCAATAATCTTGAGTTTATCTAACAATGTCTAATATTTAATAATCACCTCATCTTAATGCTCGTTTGTAACTTGATCTTCGTTTTCCGTACAGCATTGTTTTCAATTTTATTTAATAATCAATTAGTTTTGCAGTTTAGTTTCAAAAATGTATATTTTTAATTAATTAATTAATTTTTAAGATAAATTACATGTTTACTAATATTTATTTTTCTGTTTAAAAACAAAAAAAAATAAATTAGAATTTCTTCAAAACCCTCAATATTAAGGTTTATTTTAAAAATCTCAGGTTTTTTCAAACTACGTCTCGCCCTTTTGAACATTTATAAATTTTAAAATAATTATTAAAAGAAAATTGGTGGTAGTTAAATTATGATTTTTTTAAATATAAACTTGAATAAATGGAAGGGTTAGAAGAAATTACATATATAGTGCTGCTAATAGAGACAGAATTTCATTACTTAAGTTTATTATTTCTCTTTATACAAATCCAAACTTCCCGTTTTTAAAACCGTTAGCCATTGTTATACATTCATCAAGCAAGTATTATGCAACAATGCCCAGGGTACACCACGTGTAGGTTCACGGAAGTAAACTGACAAACTTTATATACCGTTAACCCGTGGGGAAGGGAGATGTGCATCACCTCTAAAATACCTAATAAAAATAACAACATAATTTCAATAAATTTATTTTTTTAGAAACTTGAAGTAGACTTGTTTAATTTATTATTTTACTAAGATTAAATAAGTTAATGCGTATTTTAATAACAATTTTAATCATTCACTTTCCTATTGGATTTGCTCTTCTAATACCTCCTAAGGAAGAAACAAGATCGAAAATTGAAGGATTAGCTAAGGAAAAGCCTGAAGAGAAGCCTGAAGTAACAAAAGAAAAAAGAGAATCAGAAGAGAAAGATGAATTAATACCTGAAGAGAAACCTGAGGGTAAAGATGAAGATTCTGACACAAAAAATGAAGAAAATCCTCAAGGTAAAGCTAAGAGAGGGGAAGATACAATAGCATCAATTCGTGAAAAAGGGGAGAGAGTCATGATGAGGAAAGCAAGATTAATATTTACAGCGGTACCTGAATCAAAAAACGGTATTAAAAAGGAAGATAAGAAGGAAGATAAGAATGAAGGAAAGAAAGAGGAAGAAAAAAAGGAAGAGAACGAAGAGAAGATTTCTCAAGCAAAGAAAGACTTAACAGAGAATGAAGAAAAAATTAAAGTAAAACCTGAAGAGAAGATAGGAACTAAGGAAGAGAAGAAAATTGAAACTGATAAAATTAAGGCACCATAAAAAATTTGAAAAATAAAACAATTAGAAAAAAATTTTTTACTAAAGTTTGTTAAAATAATATTATTTATAGATTCTTTTGTTTATTTTTTCAAAAATTTAATTATTATAATTTTTTATTAAAATTTTGAAAATATTTTTTTTCATATAAAATTTGTAACTACATATAATAGGTTTTTACGTGTTTCGACAAGTAAAATTGAAAAATTATGAAAATTATCAAGGATTGCAAATTAGCTTTGGACGGCAAAATCATTTTTCAACATCAGAAACCTTTAGATTTTATAATCGTGCCGGGCCAGATCTGTACATAATTTCTGGCTTAATCCAGAAAAATAATTACGTGTAGTGAACGATGCCGAATAAGTAGGGAGAGAATATTCTCATCCCCGATGACGGGATTCGAACAGTAGTAAAATTAATTATATGCTCCCGACAGTAATACCTATATTTAATTTCTTTCATTTTTTATTTTCTAGTTAAAACATTTTAAGATTTATTGAAATTATTAAAATTATATAAATTATTGAAATTGTTTTTAATTCACTAAAAAGTGCAACTCTTGTTATGAAATTATTAAATATTTACACACATTATAAAAAAATCGAATAATTGAGTGTGTGATTCTTCTTTAAATCTGCCGCTTCTTTAATCTGCCGCTTACATATTCTCGTGATTTATTTCTTAACATATTTCTTAAGTCAGACGTATTTTTAAAAATAATGAACGTGAAAATAGACAGTCAGTTTCACATTTTTTGATAATGCCAGGACTTTATACATTACATAGAGAGTAGTCAACTCAATAAATGTATTTATCAATCAAGAGCATAACGAACAAGAGCATAACATTCTAAAAAAATTTTTTTTAATTATTCAATGTTTTATTAATTAAATAAAACAGTGGATACCTTTAATTATACATATAATATTCATTTTATATTTATAATACTAATTTGATAGAGAATTAAGGGGAATAATTTACCAGAAATAAAAATAATTTAACATATGTATACTAAATTAATTTAGTAAATAATTTTTAGATGAAATCAACTAATTTTGTGATTTGCTTCTTAATTATTTTAAATTTTTCTGTTTTTTTGGAATGTAGTAGTGGTGATAGGAAAGGAAATGAAAAGGTTGAATCGACAATTGGGAGTGAACAAGAGCATAACGCACAAGATATTCGTAAATCATTTTAAATAAATTATTGCTCCACTGAAAACACCGTTCTCGGTTGTCTCGATAGTAGCCAGGTTACTTAACCAACATAGGGTTTATAAAAAGTACATTATTCAAATTACTACTATATAAAACTAAAATTATAAATTTTAAATAGAAATTAAATGATTATACTTTAATATTATAGAAAAAGCTTCGAATGTTTGGAAGCATTTTACGACAAACGATAATGGTTCCGTTAATTGTATTTACTGCAATCAGGATATGCAAACTAACGATTTGCCGAAATTAAAAAATCATTTTGCTGGCAATCATGGAAAAGTGATACTATATGTGCAACCTAATAAAGACCTGCTAAAAAGAAAAAAAGCTAATATGCAAACTAATGTACAACATAATAAGCAACCTATGCTGCATACTACTAGAAAATATAGTAAAGCATATCTCAGATATATTAATTTAATTTATGTAGTTTAAAGTTCGGACTTTATGTATTTATCCTCTTTTCCTGTTTTACACCCCCTGTTTCCACTTCTATTTTTTCCTAGTTTCTTCTCATTTTATGGCAATTTATATATCTTTCGAAAGAGCACTTCGATCTGAGTCGAATGACATTAAAATCAACGAAATCTGACCTCAGTGAACAAAGTTGTGATCGTTTATATATCATTCAAAAAAGGTCAAGATGGTCAGGGAAACGGGGAAAAATGGAGGGCAATTACAAACTATTACCAGAATTCTAGCCATAAATTAAATTATGTAATATTTAATATGTATTATAGAAAAAAGTTCCCATTTGTGGAATCATTTTGTTGAGATTGATAAGGATAATGCTTGTTGTAAGCACTGCCAAAATGTTGTGTTTTGGACTCATAGAAATTATAGAAATTTAGAAGATCATATTTTACGGCATCATCCTGAAAAAATGTCCGAGATCAAAAGAGCAAAACAAATGCGAAAACGTAATTTTTTGATACATATAAAATTATAAATTTATTAGCTATTACAATTCTCGGATTTATATTGAAATAAAATCGGATTTGTTTTATAGTTACATTTGTTTTATAGTTAGACTAATTGAGTATTTTTACTCCCTTAGGCATTTTGAGATTGGCGAAATGACGATGGGACATTTTGTGGGTTTCGCTTAATGTGCCATTTAGGTTTTGTCCGGTAGGACATTTTGAGGGCAGAACATTTTGTGTGGGCTCAGCCCTTTTTTAAAAACTTCGTTCAAAATCATAATATCGAAAAACTAATAGCATATTTGGGCTTCTCTTGCCATAAGATATTCAGGAAAAAATATATTTCATCAAATCCGAGCCCTAGCTATTACTTATACATATTATGATACATTAGTTCTGGCACGGTTCATAACTACCGATATAATACCAAACATACACAAGCAATACTTTATATACTCTCGATATGATAGGATACCGATAAATTTTGTAACTTCGGGACTTATATGGGTATTTCGAACACTATTTCATATTGTTGACAAATAAGTATTTAATTATCGGTATTACTAGTATTGATACGCGAAAATCCATTAGACGGCCACAATGATTTTTCCTTATTTTGGAACAATTCCTTAATTTTAAATAAAATTAAGAGATATTTATTTAGAAAATTCAAACAATGCCTTCAGTCATTTTGAATATCGCAATAATGGATATTACTGTAAACATTGCAGAAACGATCAGTGCATGCTGAAATGTAATGTAAAGCGACATCTTTTAATTAAACACAAGGATATGTCTAATGCTGAAGGAATTCTACGTAATTTATTTATAATACTCGGATTATTATGAACTAATTCTGCTTGATCTTAATTTTACTCTCGTAACTATTTTATAAGTAAGGGCGGATTTTTGTTGAAATAAATTCGACAAATATAGCCATAAATTGGCAGAATATTGACTAGGGATGGAGTCAAAAGTAATAGTGAACATGAAGGGTATGGACGCGGTAATAGAAATTAGATAAAAAAATTAGATTTGTTAAATAAGTTAATCTCTTTGAGAAATCTTATATGTTACTGATAAATAAATCTTATATTTATAGTATCCGTCTGAGTAAACCTGAGTCGAAATTAATTTGAATTTATTAAAAGAACTTTAAAACAAATCTAAGGAGAGTTTAGAAGGATTTTTATTAGGATTTCTGTATTTATATTTTTGTGGATTGTATTTATGTATAATTTGAGTATCAATTATTTCTAATAGATTATGCTGAAATTGCTCGTGCTGATCAAAAAAATGCAGGAGAAGTAGGTGAAGGAGAAAGTGAAGATGAGGACCAAAATGATGAAGAATGAGAAGGGAGTCTGAGCATACAGTGGTGAGCGCAGGAGACAATCGAGAAAAAGGAAAACAAAATTCATTGCTAAAAAATAACGCAATAGGAAAGAAATAAAAACGAAAAAACGCAAAAATTTTGAGATTTGATGAAAATTTTCGAAATTTTTGTGATTTTGGAAGACTTAGCTGATAAATTTATCCTTTTTTCCTAAGGTTAACCTTAGGAAAAAAGGAGAAATCTATCAACTAAGTCAACACAACATTTTTTTGTTTTTTGCGTCTATTCCGTTAGAGTAATGCAAAACAAAGGCGAGGCCAAAATTTAAACATTAAACGTAAGCGCATGCGCTCACCCCTGTTTGAAACGAGTTGAAGATGATTTGAAGTTTTGAGAAAATGATGTAAATAGATAAAAAATTTAAAAAAACTGAAAAAGCAAAATATTATATAAAATTCAAAATTCAAAAAAATCAGAAAATTCAAAATGCAAAAAAATATTACAAAAAGAAAGATATTTTTTATCAATTCCACATTTTATTTTTTATTTTTAGCTTTAGTATAAAATTAGATTTAGTAGTAAAAACGCTTTATTATTTACCCAACAAATAAAGAAATCAAAAGGTAGAATCTTGTGATTTCTACATTTTGATTCCTTTCGAAAGAGAAATAAGAAAAGAAAATGGTTGAGATTGCCAAAATATATCAAAGGTGAATCGGAACTGTTGGAAATCGGAACTGTTGGAAATCGGAACTGTTGGAAATCGGAACTGTTGGAAATCGGAAATGGCTCAAAAGTCGGAACTCAGAAGTCGGAAATCAGCCTAAATTTTCGGACTTTGCATTTGATTTAATTAAACAAAAAATATATTAAAGTAAAATTTTAAATAAGATTATATAATATTAGTCTTAAAAAAATGGAAATATGGACATATGATATATGTGAATAAGATTAAATTTAATCTAAAAAATTATTTATAATTTTTTGATAATTCTTTTAAATTGACTCCTAATTTATTTTGATAATGATTTTTATCTGCGTCCCCATCCCCAGCCGCCATAACCATAGCCGCCACAGCATCCCCATCCTCCACCATAACCGCCACCCCAACCCCATCCTCCTCCAAAACCGCCCCAACCTCCATAGCCACCCCATCCACCATATCCATAGCCCCAACGCTTTTGTCGTTCACTTATTTGTTAAAATAATTGAATAAAATTTAGAATTAGTTACTCTTTTCCATCCCCTGATTTGACAATAAACGGAGGAGCAACGTCAGATTTTTCTTTGTTTTTAGATTGAAATACGAGATTAGGTTTTGCCTCAGGTTTTACAGCCCCTTCTATTGTTTTTGTCTGATCCGGTATTTCTGCTTTTTCATCCTTTTTTACTTCATTGTCTGGTCCTTTTTCAGCTGCATAAGCAAATGACAATAATAAAGCTATTAGGAAGGATTTTATGAAAATAGAATTCATTTTTATAAATAAAAGTTTCTAAAAATTTATTTAATAAGTTCAGTAATAGACGAATAGTCGCGAGTAGGGCGTTTCGATTGGATAATTATTGTTACAAAACCTCACTGTAGGAGGTAATTAATTGGGAGGGAATAGTTGAGCAGGCCAATGTACCGCGAGCCCAATGTACCACTGAGCTATAACTTTGTCCAAAATTGTCGAAGCCGTGGCGCCATAGTATGGTTCGATTCAGCTGGACGAGATGCATCAAACCATACCAGGCCGCCACGGATTCTGCAATTTTGAATAAAGTTATAGCTCGGCGTTACATAGGGCTCGCGGTACATCGGGGTGTACCCAATTATTTGGGAGGGGGTAATTATTCGAGTATTCTAGAATAATCATCGGGTTGATGTAACAGATGCGACAAAAGTCCGCTAGCTCAAGATGATGGTTCTATCATCTTGAGATGTTCTATCATCTTGATGGTAACACATATTTATTTTTTTGGAAAAAGCTAGTTCCTTCGGCTTTATTATAAACATCTGTAGTGCTGTAGGTTTTTAGTACGGTTTTCGATTTCACCAGATTCTATTGTCTTCTGTTTCTAGAGTCGGTTTGGTTTGAAGTCGTCAACAATAGTAGTGAGTGTTATATACTTCTGTAGAAGTTGTGATTGCTATAAAAATTTGAAAGTAAGTAGTTGGGCAGTGAGTGATAGAAATTTTATTTTAATTAAAATTGATCTCTATAAATTTATTTTTATATTACTAAAAGTATGAGCACATTTTTATTATTTATTTCAGCATTTGAGAAATTCTAATTAATTTTTTACATCATAAGACTATATCCAACAAACCACAAAAACTAACAAAAACTAGAAACAAAAATTTTCAAAAATAAATAAAGATTCATCGAAAATTGATGACCTTTTAAATTAAAAACTCTAAATATTTTATAGTTTAATATTTCTAACCATTCTTATTATTTATTTTACATATTTAAAGGCGTCATCTTCTGTTTAATATTCAAAATAAACAATTAAATAAATTATAATTTTAGTAAGTTGAAGAAATTTTTGAAGTTTTTCATTGAAAAATCTTCATAAATAAAATATAGAAATATTTTTGTTATTATTTTTGGTAAAGGAAATTAATTAAAAATAGCCTATAATTTGTTTGGCGAATTTAAAGAAAAGTTTTTTGTGAATAAACTTTGTAAGAAAAAATTAATTTTTAAACTAAAATAATGTGCACTATTTACCAAACACAATTACAAAGTATAGATGAATCAGTCTCTGATGAATACCTAGATAGTGGGTTCTGGGTCAGTAACATAAAGCTATTCGTATCTTCTTGCTCCGGCCGTACCTGGGACCTCCATAGCAGCAAAAACCACCACGGAGACCATAGGTAAGGAGCTATTCTGAATCTTTTCCCTACTTTTTGTTTAACATTATTCAACACCTATATTGAGGTGTCGACCTTTCTCACCCCCCTCTATGTTTTTAAATTTTTCGGGACCTATAACTCTGTCCAGAATCATTTCCTGAAGTAGGGAGTACTACCGTTCGACTCAGTCACATATGTCACGTCCCGAACATTTACCACCGTTACACACACGATATCAAAAAATTTTTATGATTTAAACTAGTATGTTATTGAGGTCAAACTTTATTGAAATTTATATTACAACCTACTTTCAGCTTTAAAAACAAATATAAACTATCTATTAATTTGTCTTTTCCCTACTTTTTGTTTAACATCATTAAATAATCTTTCACTTCAATTATCTCCTAGAACCAAATAATTTAACAATTATATAAACGAATCCAAACAATAAAGCTAATACTGAAATAATTCCAAATCCAGCAAGAATTGCCGTGCCTGTTGAAGCCAAAAATTGTGCCTTTGCTGCCTGTTGCTAAAATTATTACAGAATGTTTGCTCATTCATTTTAAATATTATTGAATTCGATCAGCAATATTATTACATTAAAGCAAAATAAAAGAGATTCTGGTAGTGGGTTGTCAACACGAGAGGTCGATCGAAATTCCGATTTCCGAAAATTTGAGCTGATTTTCGATTTCCGACTTTTAAGCCATTGCCGATTTCCGGCACCTTTGTCATTTCTGATCAACCTCTGTTCCGCGCCTAAAAATTTTTCATATATCTAAAACCGAATTGTAAAACCGACATAAAAAATTTTCATTCTTCAGTTCGTTTAAATTCTGAATGATAATAATGGCTATTATTATGTCACGAATAGGGTCGATAGTTTTTGGAAATCCTTGGATATTGGAACTCTTCGGTTCGGTTCCAAAATACAACACTAGTTATAAAATTAAACACAATATCTTTGCTACTTTTAGGCTAAAATATTGTAAGGCAGAGAAAGAGAGAAGATCCAGCTGGCTAGCATTTAAAACGCTGACTGCGGGGGTTTAAGATCTAATAAAAGAGAAGGTGAAAGCAGCGTCCCGGTAGCTCAGTTGGTAGAGCACCTGTACGTGGTGAGCGAAAGCGCCTAGCAATAACTGCCAGGAGGTCGCAGGATCGAAGCCTGCCCGGGATTAAACTTTTACCTCGCTCTTACTATATATTATGATAAATACATATTATCGAAACAGAATTCATTATTCTGTTTCGATATACATAAACCATTTTATATCTTATTCAAACCTCTCCCTCAAATTCGTTAAAATTTGTAGAATTTATTCTTGTTCCATTAACGAAAAGAAAAGTGTTTGAAAATAAAAGATTGTTAATTAATAAATAAAATAAACATTTTTGTAAGTAATTTTCAACTTTTTGTATTTGGAAGAACATTATGTATATTTATTTAATTATTTATTAAACAAATTAGTAATGTTATTAATAAATTAGTAATAATTTTAATAGGAAATAATAATTATTTTAAAAATAAATAATAGATAAATTTATTAATGACTAATCAATTCTACCCAATATTTATTTTTTGCTAAAAAGAAAATCCGGGAAAATGCGCAAGAATGAGAGAAAAGCTAAAAACGAGCTTTTAATTTTTTTCTTTTAGTCTAAAATTTTGTTATAGAATGTATTATTTTTTTAATTAAAAATTTAAATTATAATTATACCGAGAAATATAAGTGTACCAAAATAAGTGCCCAAAATTCGTATTCGTACCTCGTACGTGGTATAAAATAAGAGCAAAAATAGGAGTCTTACGAAGTACGAGGTTAAAAATAAGTGTGGTACCACGACAAATTGAAGTTTTGAGATATTTACCCTTACCCGAGTGTTTTGAGTGTATTACACAGTTTTATGAAAATTTAATTTGTTTTACATCTCATTAACAATCTTAATAAATTACCCATTATTCCTTTTAATTTCAATATTAACCCAAATAAATAATTTAATTTATCAATTCCTCCCAAATTAATTCCCATTAGTATTTCACCCATTCTTTACTTTACTTTATTCTTTTATTTTTTAATTGTTGCCATCAATGGCGCAATCTCGCGCATCATCGCTCCAATTGATGAAGTTATTTGAGCATTATCTTTGGGTACTACAACACTGCTAATGTTCGATTTCGCCTAAGAAAATTATTTTTTAATCAAAAATTAAAAATTCAAAACCGCCTGATAAGCATCGACATAAAGTTGAATACAATGAATTATCTCTTGAGTGGGTGGTTCTGTATCTTTATCATAAGAATTTTTCAGAATATTGACACTCTTTTCGAGCTCGGTAGCTATTTGTAATAAATGTTGAGTCTAAAATTAATATTTATTTGATTTGAATTTCCTACTGAAATGGATAAATATTTCTCTAATTTTGAATATAATACTTTTTAATTTATTTCTATCATTGTAAAGAGGGGGGGCAAGGGTAAACCATTTTAAAGAGAGAGAAAAAAAGGTTTGATATCTACATAATTGGTAGCACTGCATCTGCTGATCACTGTAGAAGCTCTGCTGATCAACGCTATAGAAGCCCTGCTGATACCTAACCTGCAGATAAACCTTTGCTATGCTTTAAATTTATTAAATTAATAGAGCTTTATGAGACTTAAGGCCTTGATTTTCTTTTGTCCTTGCTTTTATTTGCTTTTGTTTTTCTTTCAAGGCCTTGCTTTCATTTTTTTGGAATAATTGGAGTCTATTAAGTTAATAATAAAGTCAAATACCTTAGCAACTTCCAATTCAGTTGGCCCTCCTGTAGGAGGTGTAGCAATTGATATTTCCCCCATTCCAATATATAATAGAACACCAACTCCATGATGGCAAGTTGCAAGTCTGGCTCTTGCTTGCAATTTAAAAATAGCTTCGCTATCATGACCATTTTCTTTTTCATTTTTACAGTTAATAAGATTGGCAAATGGAATTAAAAATAAAATTAAATAGAATTTTGAGGTAGCCATTTTTAATTATTATATTCTAAATTGATATTTATTATTAGAAAATAATTTCAGGAACTATGCCAATATATTTATATTTTTAAAAGTATTCAAAATCTTGAACATTTTTAAAAATTATCATTTTTTGAAATAATAAATAATAAATAGCATCACATAAGTAAATTTTCCCCTTCCCTTACGTTTTGTTAGGTTATTATGAGTGTATTTATTATAATTAGGGTTGGCAATTTAATGAAAATTAATATTTTTCTATAATTGCCAGCCTAATTATAATATAACAATTGGCGTTTCATATATATAAATATGATATTTTAAATTCAGCATTATTAATACATTGTAATTTTAAATAAACTATTTCATGTAAAATTTCGAGTGACTCCCTGCTGTAAATTAATAATAAATTTATAAATAAGTACAATAAATAAATAAATTTTGCCGTTTTAAAATACATACTATACCCATTTCTTAATCTTATAAAGCATTCGTTGAAAATTTTTTTCTAATTTTGGGTTTAAAAAATAATTTAATACAGCTATATTTAATAAAAATAGTTTAGAAAATTTTAATTATTTTAAATTTAAATAAAATATTTTATAAATTTAAAAATTTTATTTAACGTCAATAATTTTAAATAAATGTTTCTATCATTCATATTTATTTGAACAGCATAAAACTCATGCTTTATTCTAAGGTAAAATTTTATAGCTAAGTACGGAGTTTGAAGTTGATGAAAAATTTAAAAAGTGTTGGCAATATTCTAACAACTTTTCTTAAATATTTATTTTAGAAATTATTTTATTGATTAACATTAATATTCATCGAGAAATGTGATAAAATTTTAGAGAAATTATTTGGGAAAAATTTTAAAAAAATTGATAAATTTTACAAAATCAATTATCCACCCTTAAATTTTAAATAATAGTTTATTATTAAGCTCTTACCAAGTCACTTACCAAGAAATTATATTTAAGCCCCTTAACAAGAATTATGAAATCAAATAATTTGAAAAAATTTATTAAGGATTTGAAACTATTTAACCAAATCATTTATTTAATCGAGCTCCTTTTTTATGTACATATAAAAAAGTGCAATAAAAGTTGAAGGGCAATAAAGGGCAATAAAAGATTTATTTAAACTCCATTTTTTGTTCGACAAAAGTTGGCCTTTTACCTCCCATCATATGTATTTTAAAAATAATTTTTTAAATAAATATCTAAGATGAGAGATTTCAATTAATGGATTCTGATCATCCCAAAAGTGTGTGATAGTTCTCTCTTTTGGGACCCAATGCCAAAAAGCTTCTCAAAAGGGAAATGAGCTATGGTCTAAATAATAACGATAAATCAAACCGAAATTTTCGATTCAGTTTGAACCAGCAACCCTACTTTTAGTAATAAAATGCATTGTTTTATATTATATTTATGTACAGATTTATATAAATTCTTTTCATCAGAAAAGACAGACTAGAATTATAAATTTATTTATACAATACAATTGAATTATCTACAGTATTATTTTTAATTAATTTTAATTTGATTATCCCAAATTCTTTTTTATACGCAGCATTGTAATCAGTACTAAAATATTTAATTATTAAAAATTATAAAATTTAACGAAAGGGAGTCCGTGAAAACGTTGGTTAAAATTATTAAAGTCAATTATTTACAGCGAAAACCCCTCTAAGTTTAAAATTCAAATTATCTCTACCTATTAAAGTAAAGAATTGGTGCATTGAAAGCTGCAGATACGTTTAGAATAATTGCCAGATAACCACTTAAATACCATATCATTTCTGGAGAGATAGGTAAAAATGCCATAATTAAACCAAATATGACATTAAAGATAAAATATCCTCCGATATTTACAAAAACTATTAAGGAAAGTGAACATACACTTGAATTTAGAATATAACATACACTTGAATTTAGAATAATTCCAATTGTTGCCGGTATGGTCAATGAAAGTGCTGGAAGGAATAAAGGAAGATGGAAGCCAGGATCTTGATATGCCAGGAAAATGGCCTTAAATTTGATTTATATAAAACGGATAGGTCTTGATTGATTTATTAGGATCCGAAAGTAAACGTTATTTTACTTTACACAATCATAATGAAAAATTATGCAAAAATTTTTCGTTTTTCAAAAATTATGCAAAAATTCCGAAATATGCAAAAATATGCATTGTTTTTTTTATCCAGCCCTCTTGAATCCATTAGGAATGGCCTTGGGGCGATTTTGATTTTTAATATATTGCTAATAAACATACCGGAAGAGTTGTTGAATTGTTCATTATTCGATTTTAATTTTTTACTGAATTTAATTAAGACCCAGAAAAAGTGTTATGGATGAATAACAATGTTTAATTTTAAGAAAAATTATAATACTAATTACGTATAATACTTAATATCTTACATATATTAATCACGTAAAATTATTGGAATTTAATTTTAAAATTGAAAAATAATTTTTCTGATTTTATTTATGTATGAAAATTAATTTAATTTTTTTATCTAAAGTGCATAATAAGAAATAACTTTAATAAAGTGTGGCATACATATAATAATTTAAAGAAACATTTTATTTATTCTCATTTACGCAAAAGCTTAAATAGGTATTAATTAAATTTTTTCAATTTAATTCTATATAATTTAATTTTAAATAAAAATTAAATAATAGTTTTCGAGGGGAAAATATTAAATGTACAATTTTGAGTTTGAATTGAAAATTTTAAATGTAAACAGGTAATTAAGTAACCAAAAATTTTTTAAATATTGTAAATAAAATGCAATAATTATCACTTATTTGCCGCTCTCTAACGTCAAGAAGCGTCGTACCCGTGTGTTACAACTGGATATTTTTTTATTAAATTATAACTTATAAGCAACGTTTCTTAAATTTTAAAATTATAGGCATGTTGAATTTAGCTTAGAAATTTTACTTGAAAGAAAAAAACGCCTAAACGAAAATAATCACCTCATAATATAATAACCTGTAACAATTTGAACCCAACACTTTTATTATCTATGGTAACTCTAAAAAATATCGAAAAATCACTTAATCCCCACCTTCTAGTGGAATAAAAAAAAATAAGAAAAAATGCGTAATATAAAGCGAAACATTGCCAAAAAGTGCTTTAAAATTTACAAAAAATCATAAAATTTACAGTAATCTAACAAAATTTATTTTTTATTTTCGTCAATTTTTAAACTTTTCGTTTCTTCGTTCCCTATAAATTCGTATTGTTTATTATCTTCATGTAAATGTACAGAATCCAAATTAATTCCCTTTGTTTCAATTAAAAATAACCAAGAAATTAACAAATTTATTGAACCAATTAAGACAATAATTAAATAAACACTAGCAGGCCAACGAGTGTTTAAAAATACTAACTAAAAAATAATAAAATTTGAAAAAATTTTTTTTAACATTTTAAGACCACTGGAGCAATTAAAGTACCAATACGAGCTATTAATGAACATGAACCAACTGATGAGGCTCTACGTATTAGGGGATTATTTCATTTGAGAAAAAAATTATTAAATACCTCAATGATGTTGGAACTGATTCCACGGCGCTAAAAATTTATTTAAATTGTCTTAATTAATTTTTTATTAAAAAATCGTACCAGAGATAGCAAGCATCCCTTAAAAATAAAAAAGTTCATTTTAAATAAGCACTAGGATTAGTTATTGGTTCATGGAAAATTTTCGGATATCCGAAACAAAATGAAGAATCCTCGGCTCTCCAAACTTTATACTACATTTGCTAATTATTTTTTTATAATTTATAAAGATTTATAATACGGGTAGAGACCGATTTTATTGAGACCATGTGTTAGTGGAAAACTCCGAGATTCGAAGGATTCTGTAGTCCTCCCTGCGAGCTTCCCTAACAAAGAAAGAGACGAGAAAGAGAATTGTAAGAGAAAGAGAATTCTCTGCTAATCCTCGGGCCGTGTTTCCTTTTACAGAGATGGTTGTACAACGTTATTAAAAACACAAAATAAAACCAAGTTAATTCAATAAAGGTTATTCCAATTAAATTAGCCAAAAGAATTCCAATTCCATCATGATCATATAAAACAAAAAGGACTAAAAGGGATGCAGAAATAATTACTACAAATTGTGCTCCTTGATGAAGATTACGGCGTGAGAACCTTGGAAATATTGTATCTACTATAACAAGACATATTTTAGAAATTGCACAAATTGATGAAAGAAGGCTCTTAAAAATGAAGAAATATTATTATAAGCCTAGAACCCTTAAAAATAATAAATGTTTTAAGAAATATAACCATGCCTATGGGTGTGATCAAACAACTAGTCTGAAAATTAAGCACTAATAATTGTGCAATAATTGTGCGACTAGAATTGATGGCTGACATGAACCGAAAAACAGAGCTTGCGCAAATTAACCGAAAAGTGATCCAAAATGACCATGACCAAAAATCGGGAACCGTTTAATAACCGGTCGCCAACAAACTATCCAATTTTAGCATTGTCGTCTTATTAGTACTGTCGTCTTTTTAAAAATTGCTGATATCCGAAACCGGACCGAAGAACCGTAATTTTTCGGTTCAGTTTGGGTTTGAAAAAAAACCAACCACCCAAAAAAGAATTAAACTTTCCAAATTAAGCTTTACTTACGAAATTAAATTTTCAAAAAGAAAAGATTACTTGATTAAGAAAAAGATCGCCACTAATATTTGAGCTATTTAAATCTATAGAATATCCTGAAATTGCTGCTGTGAACCTTTTAAAAAAATTTTAAAATAATCAGATAATACAGTTCACTTGCCACATAACCCAAAGAACCGAAACACGTCTCAAAAGAGTTTTATCTTTGATTAAATTCCAAAAAGAATTTTCCTTTGGATATAATTTTTCATGTTCAGGTAATTTAATTGTTGGTGGGAGACCTGCTAACCGGGCAATTTTTCTTTCATTTATTCGCATTTGTTCAAGACGACCTTTACTATGCTTTAAAATATTTTTTAAAATTTTGAAAAATATTTTAAAATATACGAGCCAAGTTGGACTTTCAGGCATTAAAAATATTATAATAATTAGGGCAGGCATTGAAAATATAGCACAAGCGATACTTGAGGAACGCCAATCAGGGAAGAACATACAGATCAAGGTAAATATTAGACGAGCAACTCCCTTGAAAAACAAGATTTTTCAGCTCAAATAGGGACGAAGTGAGGTAGAGTTGGCTAGGATTTAAGAAGAATGCTAGGTTGGAGTTTAAGATTAATTAAAGAGAAAGTCAAAGCCGAGCCCGAACGGAAGATTTCACTAAATCCCATGATTGATCCGATCCGAACCAGAATTATGACCAGAAACATGGACATAATTTTGACATAAATACGGTACCGAAGACACGAAATTGATTTCTCTCAACCCGCAAAAGCATCATAAAATAGCTGCTATTAATCTACATGATCGGTGCCTCCGTTCAAATCTTTCACATTATAACTTCTCTCATATATGTATTATACCCCTTTTCTCTCCCAAAAAATTAAAATTACCCAATTAAAGAATCCCCTAATAGCCATCCTTTGAGTTGGTAATAATTGTTCCATTACAAAAGTATATACAACAACCAAATCTCCTCCAATACAGAGGCCAAGAATAAAACGACAAGCTAATAAGAAATGCCAATTGGGTGCAAATGCTTAAGAAAAAATTTTAAAATGCCACAAAATGGATTATTACCAGTAGCAAACATTGAAGAAATTCCAACAGTTAAAGCAAAAATAGAAACAGGTTTACGACCAAATGCATCTGATATTGCTCCAAAAGTTAAAGTGCCAATAAGCACGCCAGCAAATTGAATTTGGCTTTAATTTAAAAATTTTAATTTAAAAAAGATTATTAAAATGCTTAGAAATAATTATTTTAAGTTGAATTGGCGAAAGAGACTCGGACAAAAATTTATAAATGATCAGAATAAGGCTGATTCAGAATCAGTCTCAGAATGAGCCTTTTGATTTGAAGGTCCTTTCAAGCCCATTCTTTCCAATTTGATCGTAAACCGGTTTCTATAAACAGTATCTCCTGAAACCGTGTCTAGGATATCGGTATCTAGGATATACGGTGTCTAGGATGTCTTTCTTTTAGTTAATGGATTTGCGCCCCGCTACTGATAAAGAAGTAATTTCTCTCCGAAAACCAATTATCCATTTAATTTCCAATCAAAAAACAATTTACCTGAATAAAGCTCGATTATATGCATTAGCCCCACAAATCCAACCAAATTCCATTGCCGCTGAATGAAAAGGTATATTCTCTTCAAATTGTATCAGATTCTCAGGACATTTTTGATATATTGTACAATTTCTAGCAAAATTTGAAGTATTATTTAATAAACATTTCCATTTTGGTATATAATTTGAAAATACGGAAAAAATCATTTGGGTTGCGAAGAAAATTCCAAATAGCCAACATAACAAAACACAATAATGGAACCGATTGAAATTGAAGAAACAAAGAGAATTAATGTTTGTTCTCCTAAACTTGTTGGTGTTGTTTTTGTTTTCTTCATTGTTCATTGGGGATCTTGGCAGAATTGGAGATTTTCCATTCTGTTGATCAGACGTCATTTTTATATAAATTTTTAAGTGATGAAATGATTTAAATTTAATGTAGGTTTTCGCGAATTTTCAAATCATGTCTCTATGTGCTGCGCAAGGGTTCTTTTTCCGATCAAGGGTCCGATAGCTCTCAAGGTTTCCTATTGCCAATTGAACGATACATGAGTTAAGGAAATAAAATGACAGATTTTTTCTTCCATTTTACTTAAATCAAATGATAAAAATAATTCGATTTTTAATTTTAAACCTCTAAAAAATAGATAAGAGAAATTTGGTATAAAATCAATGTTTTGGAGAGAAATTTCTTTTAATATCACAATTTGTTATAAAGAACAGCTTAATTTTATCATTATTCCCATTCAATTTCATGTTTCCCTCTTTAAAATTAAAAGAATTAAAATCATAAATCACTGAATTTCGCTAAGGGAACCTAAAAAGGTACAGCAATAGAAACAAACTTTCAAACAGCTGTTGAGGACAGACTAATGATTAATAAATAGTTTAAAGTTTAATTTTGTTAATCAAGTAAATCGACCACATCATGTAGTTAAAAGTGCCAACTTACTATGAAAGAGTAATAAGACTATAAACTTCGACAGTGTTCACACTCGAAGAATTTACAGACCCCATTCGAAAATTTTTAACCTTCAATTCAAAAAAATCAGAGAAAGTTTTTGAACCTTCTGTGTACCGCTTGTAGTGTTTTACTTCTATTGCCATTTGTGCCAATTTGTGTGGCATTTTTTGTGCCCTTATCTATGCTCTAATTTCGTTTCAAAAACCGTTTCGACAATGAACATACATACGAATAATACATATGTTGATCGGAAAAATCTACAAGTACATACGGACACAACACAATCTATTATTTTAATTTATTAAATTTATAATTTATTAAAAAATATTTAATTACAAAATTTTAAAAATTCCAAGCATCTCAAAAAACACTCAAATAAAATTTACAGAATTTTATTTATTTTGTAATTTTTAAAAACATGTTTATTATTTTGACTAGAAAAATATTTTTATTATTTTATTTTATTTCTATTTTTAAAATCTGTTTACCATTTTATTACTACAAAATGAAAAGCACAAAAATACACGTGAAATTCATTTAAAAATAAATGAATAATCCTTTCTTCATAATATTATTTTTTCATTATTTTTTGTGTTCTAGCTAAAACTTGTCAGTAAACTTGCAAATATTTATTTATAAATGTAGTTGTGAAAGAGTATTAGTTAAAAAAATTTTTTAAATAACTCCTTTTTGGTTTAAATTGTGGGTACTTTGTTCATATCCCGCCCCCCACCCCTATTTGAGTCTAAGATTAATTTTCCTTCCTTGCTGTCAATCATTCATTTTCCTCCTTTATTAATGCCAATCATTTTCTTCCCTTAAATATAGGACGTCAAAAAGGGCGCGATAACGGCGTAAAGCCATAACTTGCTTCAAGATTTTCGAACCTTACCAAAATTAATATTAAACGCTTTCTCTCATCGATCTAACGAGATTGATACCAAAAATGACAAGGGTCAAAAATATTACAGAAAATTATGGCTTTACGCCGTTATAGCCGCGCGCCCTTTTGGTTGTCCTATATTTGAGGGAAGAAAATGATTGGCATTAAAAAGGGAGGAAAATAAATGATTGACAGCGAGGAAGGAAAATTATTCTGAGACTCAAATAGGGGTGGGGGGCGGGATATGAACAAAGTACCAAATTGTGTTATTCCTCGCTTTATCAGCACGCAATGGTTACATCTTGCATTGGCTGAAAATTCCGATTTTCTGAGCCCGACTCGTGTCAGAATTCTATTTTAGAGTTTTATAGATATAATTCATTTATTAAAACAAAATTTTTTTCTTGTATAATATTTACATACATTTATTTTCACGTGAATTTCTCATATTTTCAGCTGAAAATATTATTTTTCCCCATATTACATATGCGCGTTTATTCAGCCTTTTACTATTTTACCTTTCTAAATTTTCGTGTGTTTTGCATCATTTCCCAAACTAAAATAAACAGAAAAATTAAATTTAAAAGGGCAAGTATTGGGAAAACAAAAAGACTTTTTTATAAATATTTATGTATATTTTTAAATATTAATATTTTTATTGTCAAGTTTTTATATTTTTTTAATTTTCCATTTTACTTTATTCCAGATTACTACGTACGATTCTTTAGCTTCTAAAAATCAAATAATTCCAATTTTTTAAATTTCTAGTTTTATTTACTATTCAGAAAGAATTTCAACAAGTTTCGAGTCATAATGTAAGATTAAGGCCTCTAATCCTTCCAAATCCCTAGATATCCTAGTTAATTCCTAAATAGCCATTATTCTTTAATTATTCTTAAATCCATTTATTCTTTAATTTTTATTAATTGTACCTGATTCTTTTATAAGATATCAATTGTCCTAACGTGAATTTCTCTTATTTTCAGCCTAGCCAGGTCTATCATCGACCTCCTTTTAAACCCCATCAAAATTCCCGAACTTGACGAAGATTTTAATTCCCGAACATATAAAATTATTTCTAAACAGCCCACCCCTACTTTCTTCATTTTTTCCTCATTTCCGTCAAAATCCATTTTTATTTAACTTTTACTTCCGTTTAATTATTTGTTTTGTGAAATTGACTTGAAAGAAGGGATATGAAATTAAAATCAATATGAAATCCTCCCCTTATCATCTAGCTGAATAAAAAGACAATCTTTGGCATTTTTAAATCATTTAAAAAATTTTAATTTATTGTCGAAAAGTCCATTGTCTAAAGATCTGTTGTCGAAAGGTTCATTGTCGAAATGTCTTGTCGAAGAGTCCATTGTTGAAAAGTCCTTTGTCGAAACGTCGTGCCACCATGAAATCCGGTTTTCCGATTTATTTATTTAATTTGTAAATAAGAATTATTTTTGTTTAATTAAAAGGGCATATTCTTAAAATATAAATTTCTAAATGATTATTTCGGTACTTTTCCGTTATGACGTAACCCCATAAATTAATGTTAAAAATGTCATATATAGGGTAGAAAAAGGTGCTGAGTCGAACGGTACTACTCTTTTTTCACGGAGATGCCTGTGGACCGAGATATAGGGCTCGAAATGGTCAAAAAACATAGGGGGGAGTAAGCTCAATTTTGGGGTGAAAAATTCCATTTTTTGAATGATAGCTCATTCGAAAGAGCTCCTCGAGCTGAGTCGAATGACACCAAAATCAGCTCGAAATCTTGATTTTGAGACTAGATGAAAATCAAAATGGTCAACGTAAACCTATGGGACGTCGGCGAGGCGCACTCCCCCTATGGTTTTTGACCATTTCGAGCCCTATATCTTGGCCCACAGGCATCTCCGTGAAAAAAGAGTGATACCGTTCGACTCAGCACCTTTTTCTACCCTATATATGACATTTTGAACATTAATTTAGGGGGTTACTCATAACGGAAAAGTACCATTATTTCTTCTTATTTTTCTCTTAAGCATTAAGGATCACACCGTTATGGTTCATGATTCCAGAAAAAAAATTTCCGCGCGAAACCCTATAAATTATGGACATTAAATAAACTGGGAATCCTTTATGTTTTAATCAGGGAACCACGATTCCCAAAATTAGTAATTTCCTATTGTATCGACATCTGTTTCCTACTTTTAGAGCTGTATAATCGGTAACCCTAATATAATATCCATATATGCGTAGAATTACGTGACAGTATTAGTAGTAACCCCCCCCCCAAAATGTCCCAGTTGTGAAGTGGGACATTTCGGACGGGGTATTTACCCTACCACCAACATGCCCCAATTGAGAAGTAAGTTTTCATCATGTCCCAGTTGTGAAGTGGAAATTTTATGAACGTATTTTCCCCAATACCAGTTGCCCCAATCTAGTAGTAACCTAAATCAAAGCCCAACCCTTTTGTCTTATCCATGAGTGTCGGCAAATCAAAGGCCACGCTTTTGTCTCACTTAATTTTCCCGCACCACCCTTTTGTCTCAGTAGATTTTGGACGGTGTATTGTCCCCACACCCAACTGTCCCAGTTGAGAATTAAGTTTCCAAAATATCCCACAACAATTCCCAATTGTGTAGTAAAATATTTTATGGGTAAATTTCTCCTACACTCACCTACCCCAATTTAGTAGTAAACCCACCCCAAACGTTACAAACGTTACACCCCATTTGATCACCTGTCAATCAAACCTGAGGCTATAGGGGGTATTTTCTTTTGATCTTAGCCGCAAACCCTTTGCTTTTTGGAGGGTTTGAGGGTAATTAATCATGATTAATTAGGGTAATTAATCATTAATGATTAATTGCTTTTTGGTTGATTTTTTGTGGGAAGTGACAGGTTTGATGTTTTTGGTTTCTGGGTGGTCGGTTGCAACATTTGGAGGGTAAAATAAAAAATTTTAAAGCAATATTTAAAAGTGCGGTAAAATAAAAGAAGTCAAAAGGTTTTGGATGGGTGAAAATGCGGTAAAATCATAAAGAGATGAATTTTTGGGTTTTCAATTATCTATGTGGGTAGATGTAAGGGAAATATTTAATTGAAAAGTTTTGATTGATTCAGAAGTGATTAGGTACATTAATAAGTATAAGGGTGTGATTGATAAGTGATAGGTGTGGGAAGTGATAATTAAAATATGAAAAGGTTTAATGGGTATATTTTTGATTAATAATAAAACCCCTTTATAACATTTTAAAAAATAAAAACCCCAAGCGGAATCGAACCTTCAATGTCCTGTTTTTATATGCGGGAACCTTATCCATTCGGCCATAGAGATTTACTTAAGTTTAATAAAATAATCTGTTAATTTATTATAAACTAATTTCTCTGTGCATTCTGGGGGATGGGTTGGAGCATTTTAAAAATTTAAAAATTTTGAAATCTTGTAAATACTTTAAAAATTAAAATAAATTTAAAAATTAAATAAAAATAATTTAAATAAATGGTAATAAAAATTTTTAAAAAATTTTGAGAAAAATTTAAAATGATTTTAAAAAAAGGACGGAAGTACAAATGTAAGGTGATTTATGGCAAAATGCCAAATTTCAAAATTGTCGGGAATTAAAAATTAAAAAATTCGCGGGAATTCAAAATTTAAAAACTGGCGGTGATTTCATAATTTAAAAATATAAATTTAAATTAAATTTAAATAATTAATTAAATAAAAAAATAGAGGAAGAAATAAAATTTTGCAAAAAATTTAAAAAGATTTGCAAAAAAGAGCGGAAGTACAAATGTAAGGTAATTTATTTCAAAATGCCAAATTTCAAAATTTGGCGAGAATTCGAAGTTTAAAATTTGGAGGGAATTTCAAAATTAAAAAATTTTTAAAAATATTAAATTTAAATAAAATTTAGATTAATTAAATAAAAAAATGAGGGAAGAAATAAAATTTGAAAAATTTTACAAAAAATTTAAAATGATTTTAAAAAAAGAGCTGAAGTACAAATGTAAGGGGATTTATTCAAAATTCCAAATATCAAAATTTGCCGTGAATTCAAAGTTTAAAAGTTGGCGGGAATTCAAATTCAAAATTAAATAAATTTAAAAAATACTAAATTTAAATAAAATTTAGATTAATTAAATTAAAAAATGTGGGAAGAAATAATTTGACAAAAATTTTACAAAAAATAAAATGATTTTAAAAAATTGCCGGAAGTTCACATGTAAGGGAATATATGAATTATAGAGAAACACAAATTTAAAAAATCTAAGTAAATATTATTGATCTCTAACACATAGCTCCACCTTGTCAACAATTATTTCGTAATTTGTTCATACGTCTAAAATCTGAGTATAAAAGGACAGCTTTTTTTCATTTTTTAATCATTTGCTATAAAAACAAAAATATTTAAAAATCTTATAATGTCTTTTAATGATGAAGAAAACGGACCTTCTCCAAACAAACGCCCAAGATTCCACATACGGAATCTCCTTCCTCACTTATTCAATGACATACAAAGCGGTGCGGGTACGACAAATTTTAAAAATTATTACCGCCAAATCGATTATGAAACTCAGTTTAACAGAAAATTTAAAATGATGGGAACAACTGGAAAGTTTATTATTGAAAAATTACCGGACAATCCGGAGGAATTATTGAGAAAAATAATCCAAGACTGCATGGATCAAACCGTAGAGGAATCAAAGAAACAGGCAATTAATCCTGACCGACTAGGCGCAATAATTTCTTCACAGTTACTTGATAATGATATTTGGATACCAATTAGAAAGCTAGAAAAAGATACAACAGACAACATATTAACAAGATTTCAACTTGTTTCACAATCTAAGATAGAAAGGGGATCACTTCATGGTCACCCCTTCACAATAAAAATCCAGACGCTGGGTATTTCATCACTTCCAACACACCAGTCGATTAGAGGACGTGCACCACAAGACAATGCAACTGATGGTTTTAAACTAAAAGACGAATTATTTATTAAAATAGCTAATCAGAACAACTTATGCTTATTCTATGCTTTGGAAATTACTAAAAAATATGTCATTAAAGAATTGGGAGATAGAAGAAAATTTAATAAATATATGCAATACAAACATCGGCAGATGAGAGATGTTTTCGATCTTTTAAAAGCTGCAAAAATTCCTAACGATCTCTCTGAATATGATGCCGTGGAGTACGTGCCAGTTGTTGTAGATTTTTGGAATAATCAATATAAGGATACTGGATATAAATTCAAAGTATTTGTTTTCGGAGGTGTCAACGAAAAGCCTATATTCAAATATGGAAATGAAAATTTCAATGTTCCAATTTCCATTTTTCACTCAAATAACCATTTTGATGGATTAAGAAATGTTGGAGGAATGTTCGGGGTGAACCATAAATATTGCTTTACTTGTGAGAAGAAATTCAGAAAATCAAAGGAACATGACCTGAGATGTAAATCTCTCTGCAGATTGTGTGGACGCATTGGAAGTGAACGTCCTTGCTTGGCAACAGCAAACTATTTAAGAGAATGTGATGATTGCGGGAAAAAGTATTTGAATGAAGACTGTTTTAACCATCATAAAAAAAGCAGCAATTGTCGGCAAACAAAAATTTGTGAAAAGTGCGGGGTGATATGGACAATCAAAAATTATAAAAGAGAGGAGCAAAAGAATCACGTATGTGGACAAAAATGGTGTAAAATTTGTCGGCAATTTCATAGTATTGATAGAGGATGCTTTATTCGTCCATTGGAACCTAAAAAATCAATACCGTACCGTCTAGTAACATTCGATTTTGAAGCAACACAAAATGAAAAGATAAGGAATACAAATGAAGAAAGACGGCTCCACAAAGTAAATTTCATTGCCGCCACAGTAACATGCACAAGATGCATGGAAGACGGAAAAATATGGCGTTCACCCTTGAAACAAAATGGAAAGAGTTGCATAATCTGTGGAAACAATCGCTCAATAACATTTTCACATCGTCCATACTCTCAAACAAAAGTTGATAAACAAGTTGTTACACAAACACCACTCAGAGAATTTATTCAATGGATTCTTTTTGAACTTAACACTCAATATTCAACTATGGCATTTTCACACAATGGAGGGCGTTATGATATGGTGATGGTATTCAGAGAAATATATTTGAAAGGAGTTGTCCCGTCAATGATTCGTCGAGGTAATAAGCTTTATGAACTGAAAATTCCTCGCAACAACAAATGCAATGAAGTTATATTTCGTGACTCGTATAATCTCTGTCCAGTCGCCTTGGGGAAGCTGATTGGGGCATTTGGACTGCAAGTAACTGAAAAACAATTTTTTCCACATTTGGCAAACATCTCAGAAAATTATGGGAGAACACTGCAACAATTACCTCCAAAATCTGATTATTTATATGAAGGAATGCGACCCGAAAAACAGAATGAATTCGATAACTGGTATGAAGAAGAGAAAAGTCAGCAGTTTTGTTTGGACGAAGCATTGGCCGAATATTGCACAAACGATGTTCAGATTCTTACAGAAGCACTGATTGCTTTTAGAAAAAAATTTATGGAAATTAGCAAAAGGAAAAATACAAAACCTCAAGCATCGCAAGAAGGAATTGATATATTACGAGATGCAATGACTATAGCATCAGCCTGTATGAAACACTTTCGACTTAATCATCTGAAACCTGAACATTTGGCAATTGTTCCAGAAAAAGGGTATGAAACATGTGATAATCAAAGCGAACTTGCACTGAAATATTTACAATGGTACGAAGAGACACGAGGAGTTCATATCCAAAGTGCACATTCAGAAGGTGGAGAATATGTTGTGGCGGGGAGATACAAGGTTGATGGATATATTAAAGAAGAGGATAGGGCAATTGAGGTAAATGGATGTGTTTGGCATGCATGTGAAAAATGCTTCGGAAATGACTTGAACAAAATTTTACCAAACGGAAAAACAGTGGGAGAAATACGTGAAGGTGATGGAAATCGTTTGGAAATTATACGAAAATATATAAAAAATGTTGATATAATATGGGAATGTGATATACATAAGATGCTTCGAAGAAACAAAAATATGCGAAAATCATTTGCAAATTATCATGACAAAGGTCCAATAAAAATTAGAGACTGCTATTTCGGTGGAAGGACAGGACCTTTACAAATGTACTTTGACGCTGACGCAGAACAACATAAAATGGTTTATTTAGACTTTAATTCGCTGTATCCATCAACAATTGCTACAACATCATTCCCGGTTGGGCATCCGAAAATTCATGTTGTACCTTTGGCAGAACAGAATGTTAATTGGAAGAGTGGAGACCAAATTCCATTCAAAGGAATTTTGAAAGTATTTTTAGTACCGCCATCATCATTGAATGTTCCTGTTATTCCAGTCAAATTTGATGAAAGATTACTTTTTCCTCTCTGCAGAAAATGCGCACTTGCCTACCCGAATGGAGCAAACATAAAAAAATACCAATGTCCTCACAATGATGAAGAGAGAGGGTGGGTCTCAACATGTACTTCAATAGAATTAGAAGAAGCTTTAAAAGTTGGTTATACAGTTACAAAATTCTATAGAGCACTTCATTATGAAAAATGGGATGAAAATTTATTTAAAAATTATGTGGCAGAATTTATGGCAATGAAGATTCATGCGAGTGGTTTCCCTGAAGGTATAGAAGGAAAAGAAAATGAGGATACATTTATTAAAGAATGTAAAGACAAATTTGGAATTGAGATAGAAAGAGAGAAAATGGTTCCAGACCAGGCTATGCGCTACATATCAAAATTAATGCTTAATTCTCTATGGGGAAGGTTCAGTTTAAGAAATGGGCAATCAAGAAGTGTAGTCATTGACTCACCCACTGAACTTATCGAATATGACAAAAATAACTCAATTGAGATACAATCTATTGATAATTTAACTGAAGAAACAATTTTACTAACTTACAAACAAAAAGAAGAATTTATTATCGAACATGATACATCAAATATGGTGGTTTCCTTATGGACAACATCAGCAGCAAGAATAAAACTATTGAAAGCTATGCAAAAGGTAGCAAAAGCAGAGGGTTGCAATATTCTCTATGGAGACACAGACAGTATATTATTTTCCCATCCAAGGGATATGGAATGCCCTCTTAAAACAGGTCCCTATCTAGGTGATTTGGCAAAGGAATATGCAGGCTCTGAAATAAAAGAATATGTTGGAGGGGCGTGCAAGGCTTACGCACTGAGAATGGAAAGCAACAAAAATGCCAAAATTAGTAGTGTTCTGAAAGTACGTGGCATCACTTTAACGGCTGATGTCTGCAAAATCTTGCATTTTGACAGTTTTAAGGAAAGTGTACTAAATTATGCAAATGGAGGAGTCGACAATGAGGAAGATAATGAGCTGGATAAGCGATCAATTATGATTGAAAACCCAAACTTTATACGCCGCAACGTGAAGGAAGGGATGGTTTACTCAACTAAAATGAGAAAAATATTCAGACCAATAATACAAAAAGGAATAATTTCTAATGACCTCAAAATTGTACATTTCGGGCAAAAATAATTTTTCCAAATGTATAGTAATATTTCATAATATTTTTCAGTTGTACTTTAATATTTTCACAATGTTATTAAATTGTATTTTGCTATTAAACAGCATTTTATTAATTTAATTCAAATTTGCTGATAAAATTGTGATACTATTAAAATTTTTAATTTAAATTTAGGGGTAAAAGATAAGTTTAATAAAAAGTTAAGGTTTATAAGATAAAATTGATGTAAAGTTAAGGACTAGAGGATAGATTGATGTTAAAAATTATTTAAATTTGAGAGAAATATCAATATTTCCAGAAAAAATTTTAAAATGCTAGAGGAGAGGTACTCGTGTTTATGTGGTGTTTGAGGTTATCACTGTGTGCGCACACTATAAACATGCAAATACGCACACACACATATACACTATTTTGCTGTAAATTTAAGTTAAATTTGCAATAATGTTAAGATTGGTAGGATAAAATTGAAGCAAAGTTAAGGATTATGCGATACAATTCGTGCAAAGTTAAGAGATAGAAGATACAATCCATGCAAAGTTAAGCATTAGAAGTTAAAATTAATGCAAAGTTAAGCATTAGAAGATATAATTGATGCAAAGTTAATGGATAGAAGATACAACCCATGCAAAGTTAAGTAACGGAGGATGCAGATTTTAGGGGTAAAAGTGCAAAGCTAAGCGTCAGAAGATACATTTTTTGTAAAGTTAAGCATAAGAAGATACAATCTATGTAAAGTTAAACATTAGAAGATACATTTGATGTAAAGTTAAGAAAAATACTACAAATTTTGAGTAAAACTACGTATTTTGATAAAACTACTCGAGGCATATTGAGGCATATGCTTGTGTTGAGGCATATGTATGTTATGCACGTGAGTGACCTGTCTAAACTGATGAAAACACGCATGCAAACAGACTTTCTGGTGTAAAGTTAAGAATTATATATAAATTTGTTGTAAAGTTAAGTGTTGGATAAGACAATTGTTGTAAAGTTAAACATTAGAAGATACAATTGTTAAAATGTTAAGGGATATTTGGATAAAATTGATATAAAGTTAAAAGAAATATTACATTCTGAATAAAAGTATGCAAAAATTATGGTACACAATTTTTAATGCACCCTTGTATGGAGTGTGCGTGTCTCTAATCTTTTGGTTTCTTACTAAATATGTCAAAATTTCACTCATAATTAGTATCAATAGAATTTATTTCCTACACCTTCAGGATCCTTTAGATTCCCAGACCTTCAGGTTTTCTTTTAAAACCTTTAGAATTCAAAAAGTACAAAAAGGAATTATATCCAATAGCCTCAAAATTGTACAATTGGACACATTTGACAATTTTGAGGCTATTGGATATAATTCCTTTTTGTACTTTTTGAATTCTAAAGGTTTTAAAAGAAAACCTGAAGGTCTGGGAATCAAAAGGATCCTGAAGGTGTAGGAAATAAATTCTATTGATACTAATTATGAGTGAAATTTTGACATATTTAGTAAGAAACCAAAAGATTAGAGACACGCACACTCCATACAAGGGTGCATTAAAAATTGTGTACCATAATTTTTGCATACTTTTATTCAGAATGTAATATTTCTTTTAACTTTATATCAATTTTATCCAAATATCCCTTAACATTTTAACAATTGTATCTTCTAATGTTTAACTTTACAACAATTGTCTTATCCAACACTTAACTTTACAACAAATTTATATATAATTCTTAACTTTACACCAGAAAGTCTGTTTGCATGCGTGTTTTCATCAGTTTAGACAGGTCACTCACGTGCATAACATACATATGCCTCAACACAAGCATATGCCTCAATATGCCTCGAGTAGTTTTATCAAAATACGTAGTTTTACTCAAAATTTGTAGTATTTTTCTTAACTTTACATCAAATGTATCTTCTAATGTTTAACTTTACATAGATTGTATCTTCTTATGCTTAACTTTACAAAAAATGTATCTTCTGACGCTTAGCTTTGCACTTTTACCCCTAAAATCTGCATCCTCCGTTACTTAACTTTGCATGGGTTGTATCTTCTATCCATTAACTTTGCATCAATTATATCTTCTAATGCTTAACTTTGCATTAATTTTAACTTCTAATGCTTAACTTTGCATGGATTGTATCTTCTATCTCTTAACTTTGCACGAATTGTATCGCATAATCCTTAACTTTGCTTCAATTTTATCCTACCAATCTTAACATTATTGCAAATTTAACTTAAATTTACAGCAAAATAGTGTATATGTGTGTGTGCGTATTTGCATGTTTATAGTGTGCGCACACAGTGATAACCTCAAACACCACATAAACACGAGTACCTCTCCTCTAGCATTTTAAAATTTTTTCTGGAAATATTGATATTTCTCTCAAATTTAAATAATTTTTAACATCAATCTATCCTCTAGTCCTTAACTTTACATCAATTTTATCTTATAAACCTTAACTTTTTATTAAACTTATCTTTTACCCCTAAATTTAAATTAAAAATTTTAATAGTATCACAATTTTATCAGCAAATTTGAATTAAATTAATAAAATGCTGTTTAATAGCAAAATACAATTTAATAACATTGTGAAAATATTAAAGTACAACTGAAAAATATTATGAAATATTACTATACATTTGGAAAAATTATTTTTGCCCGAAATGTACAATTTTGAGGTCATTAGAAATTATTCCTTTTTGTATTATTGGTCTGAATATTTTTCTCATTTTAGTTGAGTAAACCATCCCTTCCTTCACGTTGCGGCGTATAAAGTTTGGGTTTTCAATCATAATTGATCGCTTATCCAGCTCATTATCTTCCTCATTGTCGACTCCTCCATTTGCATAATTTAGTACACTTTCCTTAAAACTGTCAAAATGCAAGATTTTGCAGACATCAGCCGTTAAAGTGATGCCACGTACTTTCAGAACACTACTAATTTTGGCATTTTTGTTGCTTTCCATTCTCAGTGCGTAAGCCTTGCACGCCCCTCCAACATATTCTTTTATTTCAGAGCCTGCATATTCCTTTGCCAAATCACCTAGAT